CCCCAAAACCCCAAAACCCCAAAACCCCAAAACCCCAAAACCCCTAATTAGCTCATTATTATTGAGGCTTCTATAAATATATTTTATACCAACATGGGCTAACATGAACAAAGGACGTAACTGCTAATATTAATCCAGGATGGGCTTCAATATGAACATTGACTGCTCTCTTGACTTTTGAAGCCATCATGTGTCATTATCTGTGTCATGAAGTCCCTGACTTGCGAGAAATACAGGATAAATTTCATAAGAATGAATGAAAATCTAGTGACTCCGCTACAAAAGCACATTCAGGCTCATTCATTCTGTTTGCCTATAAAAGTGTTTTCCTCATAATGAGGGATCTACAAAGCTGATCTTGAGCGCTCATGCGGGTTGTCCCAACCCCAGATTTAGCTATTAGTCCCAGTTTTTCCACCATGAATTAGGAACGAGGAATAAATCAAGGAACATAAATTGGATTTCTCTACCAGAATGAATGAATACGATGTTTTGCTATAAATCAATTTTACTATCTCCCGTATCATGAATGTACTAGAAGCCCTCTGGCTGTAACTCTACCGATGTGATATTATTAAGCATCCTCTAAATCTAAAAATAGTAAACTATACAAAAGTAAGGGCACCAAGTCATGACTCTAAACGATGACTCTTTCAATGTTGGCTAATGAACATATTAAGATATTTCACAGAATCTTGACTCATATCTTCCGGTTCTGGGAGATCCCAAGCAATAAATTGTCCAGGAAACGACAAAGAATCCCAAAGTACCCTCTCACTAAGACTAATGGGCAAGTTTATAATTAAGCCATGAAGCATGAAGCTACTACCTAAGCTTCTAAAAGGTTGATATTTACCCTAATTATGCATAAATATGGGAAAAGTGGTCATCTCTTTGGCTAAGTGACCTTCCAGATTTTTCTGTATGGCCCAGCACGTTCTCTAAAACCTCAAATTCTGAAGAAGTTTGCCCTCGTTATTATACATTTGGTTTTTACTCATCTAAACATTCACATTCCTTGATGGATAAGTCAATGGAACGAATTAATAGTAAAATTACTAAAAGAGCCAAAATTTTAAAGACCTAACATTCCCAGACCATGTCAGCCTACAAGATCTATGGCTCGTGCCAAAGGGTTCTAGAGGATGGACCATTGCATCTGAGAGGCGTCTTAGCTCGATACATCAAACTTTTACAATAGTGAACTTTATCATCATCTAAAAATCTAAATTTCAGCCTAAGAATACATTATTGACCATCCCGCTCAATCTTGAAAATTACTAAAGAAGAATTAGTAGTTAGACCTGCACTAATTGATAAGGTCGTTCTTTGATATTTTTGACTTGACAAAAACAAGCTCTTCCAGAGTGCTCATCAACTCGCTCTCACATATCACTTGGAGAAACTTGTTCATATCCTGTGAAGGAGTCTCATCAAAGAAGAACCTTAGACATCTCATCCCAACTGCAGGAGATTCAGATGGCTGGCACTGGAGGTACTCATCTATGCCTAAATTTCAGCAATAAAAGCTGAGAGACTGTAAGCCTGGGTTCTCTAATAATCTTTCCAAGTTTTCACTGTCGATGATGAATCCATGAAGATGTAGATGTCGGAGCTCACTAATCTCAGCAACAATCTCAAGATAATCATTGGCATCTATGCAGTACCCCTCTGCTGCAAGGAACAGGCTCCCTACTGAAGAGAGCTTGTCCCTAAGGATCATCTCTACATCTTCATCGCATTCATCGAAATTAATGATCTTCAAATTCTCAAGTTCTGGGATATCTAAAAGCATGAAAACACTGGAATTACTCTGAACGATGCTGACAAACTCTCTGTCACCGTCAAAGCTGAGGTCTAGGCTCAGTGAAACATTGTTGCTCTCTGAAACCTCGAGAGTTCTCCCAGTATAATGGCGATAAAGCATTGCCAGGGAGTTTATCTTGGCAAGTAAGAGGTCAATATCCATGAATATATCACTTTCATCCTCTGTTTCGACTGTATTCAGGATCTCCAGTCACTTCTTAAATAGACTCTGCTGAGCACTTTTGGCTCCTAAAGAATGATATAAGAAGATCGAAGGGCTAGGATTACGATGTCTCAGATTGAAGATCCAGAAGCATCCCCTGCTAAAGGTCTCAGCTCAATTCTCCCTCAATATGAATAATTGTCACAAAATATTTCCTAGCTAATCAGAGAAAAGTTGTCATACAAATTTACGAAATTTCTGAAGAAACACTCTATTGAACAATAGATCTCAGAAGACTCTCAAAAAGTTTTCCAAGCTAAACTAGGAGCCCTCATGGCTCCTCAAAGGCTGCCAAACACACAGAATTTAGGAGATGGGCTTCCTAAGACTTTCATATCATTCTAGAAGCCAGAATAATTCCATGAGGCACTTGCCAAATTGTGAGAAGTTCTACTTTTACTTCGTATTGCCAATATTAAGCTATAAATCACTCTTAAAATTTAAACATAGCAGAAACTCTCGAAATGCGCCAATGGCAGCTCTAAAACTCTTGCCAAAATCTCTGTAGATTTGGAAGCACGATTTCCACAAACTTTGGCAAGAAAACTAACTATTAGATAGCTAAATCCGCGAAATGCTAACAGATGTTCATAACTTTTAAATCAATGTTTAGATCTCCATAAAGATTCTTGCTGACATAGCCCAGAAGATGTATTTTATGTCTTCCTTCCTGGTGAATGATTCCCTTAGCCCATCAAGAGAGCCCACAGGTGCCATCATGACCTTGTAAAGGTCAAATTGTTGAAGAAACTCCTGAAAAATATTAGGTTTAGCGTCAACCCTTCAGATGGAGCCTCTCTTGGCCAAATTATGTATGGCTGTTTCTAACGTAAACCCCATGTTAAATGCTACAATTTCAAGCAAGAAAAAGAAGCATGAAACAGAGACTGCAAAATATTACAATGACACAAAAATTATCAGACAGAGATTGGGTCACTTACTGCTCAATATCTTGGTGATGTCCCGCCTCATGTGTCTCCTCGCTTGGATCTGAATTTAGGTTGACTGAAACATCACTATTCTGTGCTACCTATTCCACAAAGTCATAAGCCAGCCCGTTCCTGGGGGTCCCAAGCAAGGTTTGGAACCCTAATAATTTTTGCATATTTCTGGCCCAAACCAGGGTATTTCCATGATCCATTTTGGCTATCAAGCCAAGAGCCGATTTGGAATAAACTTTTTAAGAAAAGATTTAAAATTAAATACCTTCATTATAACATATATTTGGTCGAGAAGAGTAGCAGAATTGCATGCAAAAAATGGTGTAGCCAGCTAAGCAGCCATCCAGAAGCTAGGAGATCCCAATTTCCTTGGGAAATCATCCAGCACTAAAATTCTGGGAATTCGCGAAGCATTTAAAATATATCTATGCAGACATCGATTATAAATCAAACCATTATGGGATTACTAAGGTACAAATGTGGTCAGTCATCAAGAGCTGAATTCCCTGACTCACTGCAGAAATCAGCACGAAAAATAATAATTTTTCAGTATTCCAAGATGCTAGCAGGAGGAAATATAGCTAAAATTCACAATAGAATGTCTTTAAGCACAGCCATGAGACATCGAAGGCTGGTGGTTGCTTTCTATATGCCTCAAAAATTAGCAGGATTAGCCTTCAGGCCTCATCTGCCTTTCACATGACTTATGACCAAAAATAGGAGTTCCAAAGCAATGGGGGAAGGGCGAATTTTATGTGAACAAAAATTTACCATTTTCGATAGATGCCTCTGATGAGAGGTCCCTTGAGTCTCCAGATAAACTTTTGAATTAGATTCTAGAGCCTACATCCATTAGCAAGGGTCAACTAGAACGTACTCAGAAGTATATGGGGAAAAGGTATTCTCAAGTGTCTTCATTGGCTCTGACTTGTGAGAGACAATGTAATCAAATGAACTAAAATCAATTTCTCATTTGGTGTGAGAAACAGACATATTATCAGGACTTTCTCCTGTGTTTCTCCGACCCACTATCGAAGCAGGTTGATTGTCAGTTTCTACATCAGTGGAGTTCGAAGATTGACCCAAGGGTGACTCTTTGTCTTCTTCCTGTAGCTTTATACTACGTAGATCTTGCTTATTTAGAGTAAATGTAAAGAGCTGCCGTTCCATTTTACGATAAATATTTAATTTAGTTGCCACTCGAAGTCAACCTATTTAGCATCGGCAGGGGTTTTGGGGTTTTGGGGTTTTGGGGTTTTGGGGTTTTGGGGTTTTGGGG